ACATCTACACACTATTCAAAAGAGACAATAAAAAGGAAACAAAAAGACCAGAACACCTCCTCACCAGCAATCAACACCCCCATAGGCAGAGATCAACACCAGGATTAACACCAGACAAACAATCAAACAGTAAACAATATCCTAATCAAGGAACTACCAAGGAGAAAACCACACCCCCACCAACACTTGGCAGAGCAAGCTAGTGTATATCCATAGGCAGAGATCAACACCAGGATTAACACCAGACAAACAATCAAACAGTAAACAATATCCTAATCAAGGAACTACCAACTCAGACAATCAAGTGGTAAACAACAGCCTAATCAAGGAATTACCAAGGAGAAAACAACACCCCCACCAACACTGAAAGGGCAAGCTACTGCATATAAACATAGAGCAAACATCACCCTCTTCTAGCACTGAAGATGTTACCTAGTTGGGTAACGAAATGTCTGCAAGAAAACAACCAAACTCAGAGAACCGCAAGGACTCCACAGCCATATTTTTTCCTCATAGTGGAATTGCTCTAGTCTTCCAACCATTTTGCTAGCTCTCAATTATTTTTGGAAGCTGAAGTCCCATACATCTGGGTGGAGTAAGATTGAAGAGATAGGTGCTTCATAGTCTTGTGCAAATTATTCACAATTCAAATTAGTATGGTTAAAAAAAATCAAATGAAATACTTATAATTATTACTTTAAATGACCTACAGGTCACTGCGACTTTTACCAAAGAAGGAATGTGGATTCAGTGCCTGATTTGTCTAATGGCTGACTTTTTATCTAGAGATCAGTGGATCTGCTCTTGACTAGATCTGAAAGGACAAGAGAAGAGCAAAAGAGCACCAAAAGAAAATTCTAAGAACATTGTGCACACACCCATTGGGCTGTAGCTGAGCTGAGCCTTCTGCAGCTGTTTTGTGCCTCCATGCCATGGATCAAGAGGAACACATGTTATTGCTTGTTTTTAAGAGTAAATTTTTTAAAAAATGGGTAAATATAAAAAATGATATTTCTGATAAATCTTGGCAGTATATTCAGTATATACTTAAGGTAAGTACCATAACTAGTAGGTACAATATAGTTCACAATTGTTTCTGTGTTATGAAGTTTCAGACTTCCTTATCTTCCCATAACTCTATGTGACAGCAGTAAAAAGCTTAGAACAGCAAAAGTTGAAGAAAGTAAATTCTTATTGACAATTCATTGTATTAGGAGTATCATATGTAGCAGATTAATAGGGCTGCTATTAGAAATATTCCACAAATAATGTATACCTCCTTTCTTAATATATAGCCAGTAAAAGGAAGGAAACTAAATTAACTTTGAAATCTCTATATATGTATACATCATTCTTGAACTCATCTTGATTATTCTCAGTTATACATAGCTGTAAGCTACCAATCAATATGTTGCCACGACTCCTGGAAGAGGAAGGCTTTTACATTCCAAGAAAGCCTTATATTCCTAGGAAGATGTACCACAAAATGGAAAATCGCCTTCAGCAAGAAGGGGTAAATATAATGATTTTGCTTTTTGTAAGAACTACTTTCTAAATATTTTGTTTTTTAAACAGTTAAGTTTGTTGGTTTGCTTGATATTCATTGTGCTTTTGAATCATCTTTATCAAGGCAAAAGGCTGGTTTGAAGAAAGTGGGGAAATAATATCATTACCTTCTCCGATCAAGCAATCAAGCCATCCCATAGTGCCATTCCCTGTTAAAACTATCACACAATTAAAGACAACATATAGAAAGGTTTGTTTGTTTTTATTCTTTCACTCTACTTCACAAAGGGATATTTCATTAGGCAACGTTCAATATGCTTTGCCTATAAGTATTACATATGTTCAGGAGGACTGACAGTATATTTTAGTTGAAATTGTTTTTTCACCACAATTAAATAAAATGGGGGGGGGGGTCGGTATTCTTGCAAGACCTGCACTAGGATTTGGAACATCAGAAAGATTGGTGGAGATGCTATGATATAATTGCTATTATTCATCACTTTCCATTTGCTTTGGAGGAGAGATGAGTGAGCCAGCTACAAACATCTAAGAGATCCCCACTCATTCTGAATTAGTTTTTTATGCCTGGCTGCCATTATATTTTAGAACACAGCAATACTTGGGTTAACGTGCATTAGCTGAGAACCAGCTCAGGAACTTTTTGGGAAGCTAATTTCATATATGCAAATGCTTTAGGGGACACAAGTGTACCTTACCACAACTATGGCTTTGTCACATATTGCTATTTATACTTAAAAAATAGTATTTGGCCCAGTCTTATATCTAATAGTCAAGGATGAAATAGTTCTTAAAACTGTTTGAAACGGTATGAGAAAAATATAATTTTCTATGTTGACTCACGACTTTTATCTCTCTGGTCAAACAGGGTTTTCTCAGCCTGGATTCATTTATAGAGCCTGCTAAAAATATGCATACCAAGAAGCACAGTCTCTCATTCAAAACACTTTGAATTCAAAAGACCTGTATTGCTGTTTCAAAATTACTTTCTTTAAGAGAAGATTTTGTGTTTTTCACCCCCAAAATAGGCAATGCGACCTGAGCTGGAAAATTGTGCCATAACCAAGTCTGATGGCTACTATAAAATGTATCAACTAGATCTTTACATATCAAGTATTGTCTTCAGTCATCATTTTCTTTTTAATTGTGAGCAAGTGTTGGCAGTTAGGTTGCTTGACATCTATGAGTGCTTTCAGAAAAGACAACAGCAAAATGTTACTAACTTGCTTTCTGAAAAAGTAAGAAAATGTTTTTATGTTACTCTACAATTCTAGTTATAATGGTTTGAAAGGATATTGTTTGAATGACCTCAGAATGTCTCAGTTTCAAGACTAGAGATATGCCTAACTTTAATATATTTTGTTCTCATACTATCTATACATGTTGTTCATTTTGATTAGGGCTCTACTTCTATATAGCTTATTACAATACTGCAATATTTATGAGGCAATAAACTTATTATTACCATGTCAAATTAATATTCAGAATAGTCTAAAAATATTTTTCCTAGAAATATGTGGGGAATTGTTGCCACCCCCGAGCTTCGAAGTGTTTTTGTTAAAAAAAAATTGAATTGCATTCATGCATCCCACATACTCATTTTCAGTAGGAATCACCTTTCTATTTTCCTTTGTCATAATTTTGCATAACCACATTTAAAACAATTTTTAAAAATTGGTAGTGACAGAAGCAGAGGATATAAGCTCAATGTTTGTATTGCATGGTTAGCCCATCTGAACTAAAATGCAATAATAGCCCTATAAGAGAAAAACCACACATGTATAATGTTACAGAGAAAACAGTAACCAAGGCTGATGGGAAAAATAAGGAGGGGGGAGTATTGTAACGGGAAGCGAATACAATTTATTGGGTACAGTAGACACATACAAGAGAAGAGTTGGGTCAGAAGACGTGTTCTGAGTATATCAGTATAAAGCTCACCAAATTCAGGCTTTTCAGTAGCCACGCATAGGATCATGATGTGTTATACAGGGTTTTATACATATGTATATGTATAAACGAATGATCTATGAAGGTTCCCTACATCTGGATATAGTTTGAAAATCAATGCAAACTGTATTCTATAGTTTCCTTCCCACTAACCTCCAAAACACAAAAGATTCATATGCTTAGAGGCTCTTGGGCTGAAAATGTGTCTGTGGGGGAACATACTATGTATTGCTTGTTTTTCAATGTACTCTTTTTACTTGCTAAGATAATAGGACATATAGAACCTTAGTCAATTTATAGTAATAGAAATATTGGCACTGGATAATGGATATCTCTTTTAAAAGACTGTTATGATGAATTCAATTTACCATACAGAGAACTATTTATGGTCATAATTTGTTTAGTTTTTTTATATTGTACTTCCAGAACATAAAAAAGATTCTAGAGCAGGCCAATGATCCTGTACTGCAAAGTTCTTTTTCTAATATGAGTCAGCTGGATGAAGCCAAATTGTGGTTATCCTTACTTCTTTTACGAATGAATTGGAAGAGTTAGTTGTACAAGGTTGAAGCTTATTTGTTTTTTATGAACCAAATATCTATGCTGGAAATATCCAGAATTTCTATGACTATTCTTTTTATTTTGTATGTTTACATCATGGGTGCTGAGTGTAGAACTTTTCCACTTTAAAAACATGCATCGGTTTTACAAACTGCTTTTTCCACTTGTTAATGCTTATTTGCTAATAACAGTTAACAAATTCTAAATTATTTTTATTATAGCTCAAAGCCTTAATAAGTGCTACAAAACTAGCAGAAAGAAATTTAAAAACAAGTCAGTTGAGCACAAACACTTTAAAGGATTACAGATCACAAATAAGGTATCTTGTTACATTGGAGAGTTCCAAACATGCTGCAGATGTGTTATGTTTTTGTTAATGATAATTTTTATTTTATTTGTCTGTTTTCATGTGATTTGTACAGTGTCTGAACATAAATGCAAGTAACCAATTTAAGAGTTACTGATTATCTTTCACATTATGAGTAGGATAGTCATCAAAAGGCCAGATCAGTACATGGAGGGGAAAGGGGAGCTGATTGGGAACACAGTACAGGTATTCCTTGTTTAGTGACCACAATTGGGACTGGTAACTTGGTCATTAAGAGAAGTAATTGCTAAGTGAAACATCACAATTTTATGATTTTTTTTTTTTAGATTTTTATCCTGCCTTTTTTTTCATATACATCTCAAGGCAGCAAACATACTAATACTCCTTCCTCCTCCTATTTTCCCCACAGCAACAACCCTGTGAGGTGAGTTGGGCTGAGAGAGAGCGACTGGCCCAAAGTCACCCAGCCAGTTTTTCATGCCTAAGGCTGGTCTAGAAATCAGTCTTCTGGTTTCTAGGCTAACACTTTAACCACTTCAGGTAGACCCTGAGTTAAGAATGCCCAGTTTACCGACAACCCATAGTTAAGAACAGAGTCTATTGCAGCAAAATTTGAGTTAAATGCAGTGATTTGAGTTAAATATACAATGGTTGGAGTTAATTACACAACATTACTTATACAGTATTATACAATAATCCTGTTCTGGCTTACATACAAATTCGATCTAAGGGCAGACCGTGGAATGGAACTTGTTTCTAAACTGGGCACTACCTGTACACCAAACTGGCTTTTCCTTGCTTTACATACCTGTGAAGGTCATAAATGAGAGGATTGGTTGCAGAGTTACTTTTTCATCACCATTGTAACTGTGAACAGTTGCTAAATAAGATGGATAGCGAGGACTACCTGTACTGGGTAAGGATTTAATCTAACCCTCCATGACTGTTTTTAATGCTATAGGCTATTCTGATAATAGATTTCTTATGTTACATCTGCTGGGCCTGTAATTCTAGCAGCTCATTAATTGAGAGACAAGAAAAGAACAATACATATCTACTTAGAGAAAAATTCTAGTATTTATAACTATCTTGCAAGGCAAGGCAACAGGTCTAGTGTTTCTCAGTCAGCAGGGCTAGACTTCATAGAAGTTACTCCTTTATATTTATTGCAGATGATAAATGTAATAAAAAATGTCCTTTGGGAGGAAAAGTACCTTTGCTTTTCTAACATGGCAACACTCAGGTACTTTGATGGAGTGAGATGTATTACAGTATATGAAAAGTTGAGAACTACAGTGCTATCAAACTTATATAGCAGAATTATAGAGTGGATGGAAGTGAGACATGGTCTGGTTTGGTTACTCTTATATGTACACTGACAAGTGAAAAAGAATAAATCACAAATATATTAAGCGCAGCTAGGATGTAACTGACTAATAGTTTTAATAATAAATCTCATGATCTGTGTTTGAATGTTGAAAGTTCAAGTATGATGGAAATTGGAGATCCTAATTAATAGTGAATTTTGTTTATGTCTCAGATAATCTTTTATTTTTTGTGATGTGTCTCCCTTTTCACAAGAAGATACTTATAATGTGCATTATATGTGAAAAGCTTTTTGGTGTATTTGCATTCCATACAGGATAAATTAATGTTTAGCTTTTGTCATGTTTTAAAGGCTGGAAGTCATAAAATTATCACTTTAATTTTGTGATCATTTGTTTTTTTTCTTTCCTATTTTCATTTTAAAAAGGAATACTAAAATATTATATGACAAAGAACAACAACGAGATAATTATTTAATACAAAGTATGCTGAAAGTGTGGAAACAGATGAAGTCTTTACGTAAACAACAAGGCTTTATCAGTACAACTATAAAGCTGCAATTTCAAAGGTAAATACATAAAGCATTCATAATGCAATTAGTATTTGTCTATTAATTCTCTATAAAAATTATTATCACAGCAATGGCAACATCTAAGCAACATTGAATTATCTTGGAAAAAGTATGTTTTGAGTTGGTTAGTCATTGGATGGGAGACCACCAGGATGTTCCAAGGCTGTAGATTAGAGCGAGAAGCAAGGAAAACAAAAACAAAAACAGAACATTGCATTGGCAAATCATTTCCATATTCTTTTAAAGAAAAAACCACAAATGTATCGAGGCAGTCCCCAAGAACTGAACTCAACCTGAGGAAGTCTACTTGTATAGTATTTATTGTTTAGTTGCCTCTGCTTCATATACATAAACATATAAAACATAGTTGAATAATTATAACACATTGTGGTTTAAGATATACTAAACAGTGAAGGTTTTAAAATATTTCAGGTTTGAAATGTTCTGACTCTGAAATGACCTCTTCTGATTACTAGTGGCTTACCGGAAGTGTTTCAGTGTCAAAAGTGACTGTTCTGTCCTTACCAGAAGTGGTCCAACCTCAAAACTGACCATTCCAACCTTTATTTTGCAATTTCCCTTCCACTGAGATTGATGATGGAACAATTTTTTTAACATGTTTTGCACAGCTCCATTAAGTGTTGACATAATCCTTAAAATTAACAAATAAGAAGCTTAGAAGGCATAAAAACTGCATGTGGCAGAGCAGAGTACATAAAGAGAAATTCCTGGAAAGCTCAATAGATATAAATAACTGCTAAACTTTTTTTTTCACATGGTATATGAATATTGAAGGCATTTCTGAATATTATGGTTTAGTCCACATATATGGCTTGTTTCATAATTTAATTTCATAAGCCATAATTAATGGCAATCGTAGGATGTTGATTTAGATGAAATAGCAAGCCACTTTTAAGCAAACATTTCTGAATTTCAACTACCCTTCCCAGATACACAGTAGAAAGACTGAGAGAACTGATAGGGCCAAAGCGGTGATAGCTAAGAAGTTGGACAAGGAGTAGGGAGAGTCATGTTCTTGTCCAGCTAATTGGGTCACTTTGGGCTACTTACTCTCACAGGGGTGTTGGGAGGGAAAATGGTCATGTAAAATACTATAAATTAAAAATACTATTAAACACTAGATTGGGGCAGGTGGAGGATTCAGGTTTCTTCATCTTACATTAATTATAGTTTTACACACACACACACACACACACACACACAGATATAGCCATGGAGAGCTGAGTTTTGGGGCTCTGAAAGCAAACATTAGTGGAAAATGCAATTTGTTTATTGCTAGAGTGGCACAGAGAATTTTGTAGGAGTGGACAGGTTATGTACCACCATCAAATGCCATAATTTTCCAGATATTTTTGTCCAAAGGAAACGAAGGTAAACCTTGTGGCCTTGAAATTATTTACAGCTTGGGTTGACAGTAGCAATATGTTAATCATACACTTCTGCTTTCCAGACTATAACTTAGTGATAGTATTAAATAATATATCAAGATTATATTTTACCTTGGATGATGTTGAGTGTTTCTTTCTCTTGATAGCTGGCATTTTTAAATGCAAAATCATCATTAGAAGCTGCAGTTGATTATATTGGGTATAAAGGGCAATGAAAAGAATAAGCACTGCTCTCCACTTTTCCATCCTTAATTGCATTCTCTTTCATTACTAAAAAGGAGGGGAGAAAGTAATATACAACTCGAACCTCAGTGTTGACTGTGCACTACTGAAAGTCTGTTATTTATTTTTCATATATCAACAAGGCAAACATGTAATTCTGAATTGGATGAATATGAGGTCAAAATAGCAGAAGATGATGAAGAAGAGGTAAGAAAAGAATAAAATTAAATGTGAAAACAATATTGCTTCCTTTTTATATGTACGTGATTAGTATCTAATATTTATTCTAGGAACCTAGATATCTTTGATGAATATTGTGATGTCAGCAAACCAGTATAGAATTTTGTATAAAATGTGTGTGTTTGAAAAAAAAAAAGCCAATACGAATGCAGACATTATTGTTTGAGAGAGTATCAGTTATAATCAAAATATTAATATTGACTTCTAGGATTCTTCGGACTCAACTTGTGCTTCTCAACCTTTAACAGACCTTGGAGAAGGAAAGAAAACATTTTTCATTCCACATCTGACTTTTATTCCAGAAATAACAGCAGCAAAATTGTGCCCACTGTGAGTTCCACATTTTCTTTCCACTTTGTTTTACTTTTCAGCAGCTATTTTTTTTTAATTTTGCAGATACATCCTTTGCCATCTGTGAGTAAAATGGCTTCTTCTTCCTCCCTCTATCCCAGCCATCTTCACACTGCAATTTTATATAGAATAGACCTCTCCTGGTAATCATCTTCTGGTAGCACCCAAAGTAGCCCAACTGAACTGAAGTTCATTCAAGCTCTCTAGAAGAATACTATGGTTAATAGTACAGGTAGTCCTCGGCTCACGTCCATTCATTCAGTGGCCGTTCAAAGTGATGGCAGCACTGAAAAAAATGGATGTACAACTGGTCTCCGAAGTTCTGGCTACCATAGCACCTAGGTGCTTGGGTGCCTAGTTCACGCTTATAATGTCGCAGGGACCCATGGTCAGGTGATCGCCATTTGTGACCTTCCCTGCTGGCTTCCCACAAGCAAAGTCAATTGGAAGGCTGGCAGGGAAGGTTGCAAGTTGCTCTGGTAAGTCACTCCTGCTTTTTTTCCTGCCCACAGCAATCCTCCCACCCACCCGCAGTCTCTGCCAGCCCTTCCAGGCCCTCCCTTGGCCTCCTGTGAGTTGTGCGTGGCCTCTGCCAGCCCTCCCAGGCCCTCCCTCGCAGCACCCCCTCCACACCCCCATGGCACCCCTGTGCTCCTTACCTGGCACTTCGCCTCTTCCCGGTTAAGGGCCCACGTGTCTTGGAGTTACAACAGCAACTGGGCTTGCCGTCACTTAGCAATGCAGTCATGTGACATCGCATTTTATGACTGCATCACTTAGCGATGGCAATCCCTATCCCAATTGCCGTTGTAACCCAAGGACTACCTGTATCAAAACCTACAGGAAGATCCAGGAATATTAACAAAGTCACCCTCCCCTTCTCTGTCCTGGTACAGATAATCCAACAGGACGACCAAAGTGTCCCTGTGCCAAACTTGGGTTGAAATGCAGACTGAAAATTTAAACCATAACTATAATCTAATCTTTATTTGGAATAGATTGTACTATTAACATTCAATACACTATTTTAATGTTCAGAACCTCAATCTAGGAAATGTTTAAAGTCATGCTTCATTTCTTTTGCTGCAGAAATTTACCTGTAGTTTCTTTTGTGTGACGGTATGTCTAAATAAAATATTAATTTTGTTTATTTTTAGAGAAGAACGGAAGAGAAGGGAAAAGGTCAAAATGGAGAAATATTTTATTAAAATATATTACAATAATAAACTGGTCTCTTGCACTCCAGAGCTTTCTCTTCGTGAAGACTTTAAAGTAACATTTCAACAACATTTTAGAATTCAGATTTTAAACTGGTCTGAGTCCCTTCAGTTAGAGGTATGACTATGCAGATGTGAATGGTTCAGGAGAATGTTGGAATTGAAGTCTAATCATGTTCTCTTTACAAAATTGTTGTCTTAGTGAAAGTTGATTTGTTCCTATTATTTTGAGGGGACTTTTTATATTTAACAATTGTATCCTAGAATGAGCACGTAGTTGATGTGCTTGTTGAATGAACTTATTGTGTGCTGCATGATGTTTGCAAAGGTAATATGCTGCGATTACTAACCTATACATTCCAGGAGATTCGGCCAGTTGTCACTTTGCAAAATGTATGTTGGAGATTGACATTACAGTGTCCGTGGTCTCCTTGCATGGTATCCACTGACCTCCAGAATTAAAAATAACCCTGAAGAAAGGGCAGAATCTCATGAGATAGCTGAGTACTGTGCATTTTCTATGTTAACACACAGAATTCAAAACTTTGATTACTTTTACTTTGCATTTTAATTTTTTAGCATTTACAAAAATGTTGCGTGTGCCTTCACTATAGTGCAAAATCATGCAATGCTGCCCTCTATCTGAAAAGGTGGTTGGCCCTAGATATTATTTATTTATTATTTATTGCATTCTATCTTGCTTTTTTTCTGACTGTTCTCCTTTTTTGTTTTTTTGTTTTTTGAGAACTTATGTTAGTATACATAAGGACCTTTTCTAATTTTATTTTTCACAACAACAACCCTATGCGATAGGTTGGAGTGAAGGAAAACAGATGAGCCAAAGGCACTCAGCAAAGTGCGTGGCCAGATGGAGATGGGAACCTTGATTTTTCCAAGAAGTTAGTCATTATACTACATTATCCTTGTTTCCCCTTCATGGATCACTGCCTTGTCGTGGCGAAGGGGCTTGCGTAACTCAGTGAAGCCATGAGCTATACCGTGCA